TGAGACTCCAATAGTATGTGTGTGAATACAAACTGAATTTTCATAATAAAATTACATTGAATTTTACAATTGAAAATTGGCTCAGGGAAACATTTATGGCAGTCTATTACTCATCAAAATATAACTTTGTAAAGAGCAGAGGGATCTTTATGGGCGTTCTCACCTGCTTAGATATATTGGTGCTTTGAGTCTCTGACTTAGTATTGGCTGAGTACCTTAACAATGGGTCCTTCAGTCAGGGGTCTCACAGTCATGCCGCACTTTGAGCAGTAATCACAGTTCACCATTCTTTCCTGAGTCACACCCATAACATGCAATCGGATACCAAGTCTCCTGGCTCCTCTCACTGCTTTGGGGGACTTTTGTGAAAACGACTATCAACCCACTGCAGTTCTTAAATTATTTGTGGGAGCCCTGGAACTTGGGAGCAACTAGATCTGGAAATGTAAGAAACACTGAAAGCAAAACCAGCTTAAATCAGAAGCCTGTCTGCGCTTTGGTGATCCTGTTCTCTAAATGGTTTCTGTTTGTTTGAGACAGGGTTGGTTATCCAGGGTGCACCTGGAACTCACAATGTAGGTCACCTGCCTCTACCTCTTCAGTGCTGGGATTAAAGGCATGCACTACCATGCCCAGCTCCCTAAGGGTTATTTTTTCCTCCAAATACAATTTCATATAAGCCCAGGCTAGTATCTAATTGCTATGTAGCCAAGAATTACCATAAACTGATCTTCCTGGCTTTATCTCCTAAGTGCTCGAATGACTGGCAGGTGCCTCGTGCCTGGTTATATGTGGTGCCTGGAATCAAACACAAGGTTTGGTGCACGCTAGGCAAGCACTGTACTGAGATAGTGACCCATTTCCCCTACCCCAATGAAAGCATTCACCAACAAGTAAAGACTTTGAGGATCTAGGACCAATGAGATGCCTTCACAGGTAAAAGCACTTGTCTTGGGATCTGGAGAGACGGTTCAGTGGCTAAGAGTACTTCCTGATATTGCAAAAGAACTGGGTTCACTTCCCAGCACTCACATGGAGGATTAGAGTAATCTATATCTCTAATTCCAGGGGATCTAATACCTTCTTTTGGCTCCCGTGGGACACATAATACACACAGACAGAACTCTCATACACATAAAATTTTAAAAAATCTTTTAAAAGCACTTTCCATGCAAAATTGACAACTTAATTCCATCCCCAGAACCCATGGTAGAAGAAAAGAACCAATTCATAAAAGGTGTTCTCTGGGGGCTGGAGAGGTGGCTCAGTGGTGAACTCTGGCTGCTCTTGCAGAGGACCCAGGTTCAATTCCCAGCACCCATATGGATGCTCATAAATATCTATCACTCCAGTCCTGGGAGGTTCCATGCCCTCTTCTGGCTTCCCTGGGCACCAGACATTCATATACAAAATGAAAATAGTTTTTTTTTTTTTATAAACTACCCTCTTACCTCCACATGCATCTAGGCACCTAGGCACCATAATCACACACTTTACAGCTGAAGAAATCATGTCCTAGGAAAACTCACAAAGGCAGGTGTTGTGGCATATCTGTCTGGGCATTTGTCTAGCAAGCTGGTCCTGCTTTCATCCCTCCTAATGGGGAAGGGGAAGAGGCAAGAGGAGGAAGGAGAGGTGCTTGAGCCCTTAGTGATGAAGGGAAGAGACTTGAGACAGGATGGTCTGTTTACAGCTTCACCTAGAATCGCCATATAAAAAGAAAGAGAAGCACTGGAGAGATGGGCTGCTGGTTAAGAACTCTGGTTGCTCTTCCAGAAGAACAGAGTTTGCTTCGGAGCACACTGCTGTAACTCCAGTTCCAGGGGATCTGATGCCTTCTTTTGGCTTCCTTGAGTACTGCACACAGGTGGTGCACAGACTTACACCGGAATAATACAAAACATCAAAATATCAAATAATCCAATTAAAAATGGGGTGCAGATCTAAACAGAGAATTCTCAACGGAAGAATCTCAAATGGCCAAAAGACATTTAAGGATGGTTCAACACCCTTGGCCATCAGAGAAATGCAAATCAAACTGACTCTGAAATACCATCTTACACCTGTCAGAATGGCTAAGATCAAAAACACCGATGACAGCTTATGTTGGAGAAGGTATGGAGAAAGGGGAACACTCCTCCATCCCTGGTGGGAATGTAATCCTGTGCAGCCACTCTAGAAATCAGTATGGCAGTATCTCAGAAAATTGGGAATCAACCTACCTCAAGATCCAGCAATACCACTCTTGGGCATATACACAAAAGATGCTCAAGCACACCACAAGTACATAGACTCAGCTATGTTCAGACCAGCTTTATTCATGAAATAAAATAATTTTGGGGGGTTTTTCAAGACAAGGTTTCTCTGTGTTGTTTTGGCGCCTGTCCTGGATCTTGCTCTGTAGACTAGACTGGCCCCGAACTCACAGAGATCCACCTGGCTCTGGGATTAAAGGTGTGCACC